GAAGAGGTGATAGATCACAGCTGCACCTTGCTGGTTAATGGGCAGCCATGGGCTGGAGGTTAGGGAACCAGCCATGTGACTGGAAGGTCGTTGGGTTGATCCCCTGTGCTGACAGGACATGACTGAAGTGCAATTGTGCCAGGCACCTCACCCTCAACTGCTCCCTGGGAGCTGGGGTGGATAGGGCTGCCCACCACTCCCACACCCAGGCAAGTGTGCTCACTGCCCCCTAGTGTGTGTGTATGTGGGTGTTTCACTGCACAGATGGGTTAAATGCAAAGGTGAATTTCCCTGTTGTGGGATTAATAAAGGGTACCTTAATAGTTCAGAATGGTGGTGAACTGTTTTTTTCTGAAAATACTGTTTTTTTCGGATGTCGTTAGAAGTACCAGAAATCCTGAAGTTGTGGCTAATTGTTTAGAAGCTACACAAAAAAATACCAAAGTCGAACAAATCTACAAACTGAACTAAAAACCAGGGAAAAAGTACAAAGCAGCTTTCCTCAAATGCCAGCTGCTAAAGAAAACTTCTGCTCTCTCTCTTTATGCTAGTAACAACAAAATCATGTTAGCTTGCGCGCATTGATCTCAGCTGAGATGTGGTTTTGAGAGGAAACACAGAACTAATCCTGGAGTAAAACTTTATACTAAAAAATATGTTTTAGGCCAAAACTTTATTACAAAACTATCACAAAACAATATCAGCGGTATTAAGCCATGAACTCATAACCATTTTGTGTTATAACTCAATGGGATGCAGCTTTTAGAGCCATTAAATGCTTCGGACGTCTGGTTCCCAGTACTATAATTGTGAACAAGTCTGACTCTGTAAATTTCTCTAGAAAGGCGCGTTTCACACCGAACCACTCTGAATGACTTTGTTCACATCTAAACACTGAATGATTACAGAATTTTGCCCTGGCAGGTTGATTGGGGTAAAATAGTGTCATTTGATTTTCCGCTAAGCTACTTCTTGAATGATATTCACATTGTATGGGTTCCATTTCAGAGCGATTCAGAGGAAAGATTCTATCTGCTCATAATGCCACTCATAATTAGAGTGTAGGTAGCAAAAGCAGCTGGAGGGGCTGTATACAGTGGCCCCAGAAAGTATTTGGACACTTTAACCTTTGGTAAACTGTCATAAAATGTTTAGCGAATAAGATTTGTTTCAGAGAAAAACGCTTTTAACACAACAGCACACTGATAGTAGACTCAGATCAGATGAGATGAGGTAGATGAGAAAGCCTGGAGAAGAACTCCGACCAGACTGCACTGAGGGTTCTGTAAAGCACAGAGGTGGAAACACACAAAGGCATCTAAGATACAGACCTGCTGACGTCTGCAAAGAAATCATGCAACACGCCAGCTGCCTTTTGTCTTAGAACAGCCTGTTTTAAATAAAGGCCACTCGGTTTGACATTTTGTTTCCTAACACAAAGAGCTTAACATATTTTTGAGTGGAGCACAAATGTCCAAACAGTTTTCAGGGCCACTGTAGGCCTGCAATGTGCAGGAAGGCTCTCTATTGTGCACAACCCAAGCTATTCACAATGAGTTTGAGCTATTAATTGTCTGGACAGTGCATTAGAACCAGCAGAACTAAGAAAAGCCTTCACAAGAAAGCTTTTCGCTGCTGTCGGAACAAAACTTTGTATCTCCAAAATGAGAACTGTACAGGAAAAGGAAAAAAACCTACTTTACTTTCAATGTAAGTCAATGGAACCAGACTTTTTTCCAAGCAGTTTTGGGCTGTTTGTTTTGGTCCATTTATTGTGAAATAAATGCAACATGCATTTTCACATTATGCCAAAAACTGAAAAACGACAAAAATAGAGATACGAGGTTTTCTTCCAAAAGCAGCGTTTAATTCGCACCGACAAAACCCTCCTGTCATTCTCAATGTTTCATTATATAAGGGCGGTTGCTTATGCTTGTATGTTGTTTGGATGAGAATGCTTACAATCTTTGTTGTTTTGTTTTCTGTTTGCAGAGGAAGATCAAAGACAAATTTTGGACAATAATAGTTGGACAATAAAGCTGTTCTATTCTATACCCGCAGTTTTAGCAGACAAGTGCAGTGCTGTGTAAAAGTCAGAGACCACCCTTCATTTAGACAACATATCAAATGTTGAAACTGAGAAATTTTATTGTTTATGCCTATTTTGAATTTGATGCCAACAACACGTTCCAAAAAAGTTGGGACGAAGGCAACGAAAGGCTGGTAAAGTTGTGTAATGCTAAAAAAAACAGCTGGTGGTTAATTGGCAACAGGTCAGTAACATAATTGGGTATGAAAAAGCATCGCAGAGAGTCTTTCAGAAGTAAAGATGAGGAGGGTTCACCACTCTGTGAAAGACTGCACAGTCAAATAGTGCAACAATTCAAGAATAACATTTCTCAACATAAAATAGCAAAGAACTTTTGCTTTCAAAGACCACTGAGCTTGTTATCAGTGCACAGTTCAAAAGCCAGTATGATATATACATGTTTTGGCAACATATGCTGCCATCCAGATGACGTCTTTTTCAGGGAAGGCCTTGATTATTTCAGCAAGACAATGTAAAACCACATTCTGCATGTATTACAGCAGCATTGCTCCATTTTAAAAGAGTCCGGGTGTTAAACTGACCTGCCTGCAGTCCAGACCTGTCACCACTGAAAACATTCGGCACATTATGAAATAAAAACTAAGACAAAGGAGACCCTGAACTGTTAAGCAGCTGAAATCCTATGTTGAGCAAGCACAGGAAAACATATTACTTTTAAAACTACAGCAGTGTCTCCTCAGTTCCCAAACGCTTACAGAGTGTTGTGAAAAGAAGAGGTGATGAAACACATAGTAAACAGGCCCCTGTCTCAACTTTTTTGGAACGTGTTGTTGGCATCAAATTCAAAATAGGCATATATTTTTCAAACAATAAAATTTCTCAGCTTCAACATTTGATATGTTGTCTTTGAACTATTTTCAATGAAATATAGGGTTTAAATGATTTGCAAATCATTGAATTTTGTTTTTATTTACATTTTGCACAGCATCCCAACTTTTTTGAAGATGGGGTCATAGTCAAAAAAGCCATTAAGTACAAGTTACTCATTTTTCAATGTCAGGAAAACAGTGGAAAACATATTTATCAGAAAATTACACAGAAGCATCAAGTAAACATGACACCTATTGTTTCTTCAGCATTCTGAGTGTCCACACTTTAGCTTTATTGCAGCTTCCATTCTTTTGGGCAGAGTGTTTTAAAGAAGTCTGCAGGGGCATTTCTCCACACCTCCCAAGTTCAGTCTTAGAAGTTGGTTGCATTTTCTGCTACTCACCATCCAAGTTATCCCAATTTAGACTCATCAGTCCATAAAACCTCACTCCACATCAGTTTCAGTGTTCTAGTGCAAATGTTCTGTTTTGTTTATTTTCTTTTCTCAGTAACGACATCTTGACAGCTACACAACCTTTCAGAAAAAAAAGAATAGTATTTCATGGCTGTTTTGACTGCAAATGAAATCAAAGTGGGATGGTTTTCGACACAGTACATGCATGTTAAGCTTTGTTCAGTGGGCCCACTAGTGACCCTACTGCCTGTCAGCCAGCTGCTATGAAAGAAGCCCTTCACACATCACTTCACGTCTGTGTATGTCGCTGTGTGTTTGTGTGCTTGTGTGCACATTTTTCGTGTGTGTGTGTGTGTGTGCGTGCGTGCATGCATGTGTGTATGCAGCTGTTGTCAGGCCATCTTTGAGTTAAAAGAGGAAAGAAGAAAAAAAAAGGCTTGCGAGGGTAGGAAATCCCCTGCAGTAGGCCAACATCCCAGACTACATTGATTATGCTGCAGCAGCAACAACAGCGCCGAGCCCAGAGAAAAACATCCAAATAAATGATCAGGACTGAGCTCTGCAGCTTGACCTCGACATCTGCAAGCGCAAACATGCAGAGAAAATGGAGCGTGCAAACATACGAGTGCAATAGGAGGTCGCGTTCTCTAGTGCATTGGCACAGGCAACGATGTAGTGAAAAAAAAGGTTATATAAAAATAAGAGCACATACGTTTGTATGCAAATGTTTCAACACCCTGGTCAAAGCACTTAAATATGCCCTTTTTTTGCACATTTTAGTGCACAATTTCTATTCTAATTTCTATTTCCAGTTTAACATATTGGACATTTTTGAAGCTGCTTTTGCACAGGCCACATTTTCTGCTTTATTTTTTTCCTCAATTAAAGTTAAACTCAGTAATTTTGCATTAAAACGTGCAGGCATGGGTTCCCTGTAGGGGATGCGTACTTACTGTCCTTTAGAAAATCAGGGAGTTTGACCGGGGGTGCACAAACTTTTGCACACAGCAGTCATTAAAAATATGCACAAGAAATTTTGCTCTGTGCTAAAACATGAGAAGAGAAACATGGAGCATGCACACATTTAGGTGCAATAGATGGTTCCACAGCACTGTAGACACAGTTAATGACACGAGAACAAAGGTGATGCAAAATTAACAAATGAAATATGCACATATTCATTTTTAGGCTCAGCAATAATGGGTGGGTGTGCAAACTCTCTGGGTGCACAGCACAGTAACTGTCCTGATAACAGACTGAGTAAAAGCACAAACACACACACAGACACACACATATCAACATTTATATTAAATAATGTGCATTTTATCAGTGCATTTATTTGATTTTCATGGAAGGAGTGAATGCCTTTCTTTACTTGATCCGCCAAAGGAATATTTGCACTAGGAATGCAAAAGGTTTACTGTATGCAATTGTTGTAAACTTGTATATCTGTTGCACAATATTGAAAGCTGTTATGTTCTTCAAGCTGGTTGATGCATTAAACCAAGTTGCCAACCATAGATTTAATGGGCAAATGGGCTTTTTCCAATATCAAACTAAGTTATATGGTGCACCAGTTCAGACTCTTATTAAACTTTTCTGTTGTGTGGTAACACTTAAGTAGGCCGCCTCTTGGCCACATACCAGGTCCCCCCTTTAGAGCTGAAAATATCAGGGCCTTTCTCTATGTGGGAATTCCCCCTCGTGTTAAAAAACACAGCTAACGCTTCCCCCAGTGCCACCAGTTTCCTTAAAAAACGCCTCACGGACACAAGCGTCATGTGTAGGTGAGTGTGCAAATGCTATGTCTGTGTGTGAATCTGTATATGAATGTGTCTGTAACATGTGCTTTCAGATACACTTTGATGTTGCTTCACTTTATCTTTTGTAGCTCTGCCTTTGTGCATGTTTACTGCAGTTTGCTTGGCTCAAAAGCAGCATAAAATATCCTGCGTTTCACTGCTGCTGTGGAAAAGCCTTGTGTTAAACTGAAGACGGTTGTTGTGCACTGTTTTTCTGAATCCTCCGTTCAGTCACAGTATTTCATTCCGATCTGCAGGACTGTTGAATAGAAAGGTTTCTATTTAAATGCACTGGACAAGCTTAATGTCCATCTACTGCTCTATCTATTTCTAATCTACCACAGGGCTTTAATTGCTGGGGTTTATTTCTGTCTCTAAGCGTTCACTACCACTGCTTTACCGACACCAAGCATGCCTCTGCATAGACTAAGTGCTTTTATACCACAGCTGTTTGCAGTGTTTGCTGTTCTACTTTTACTGTCACACTGATGTTGAGTGTAATGTATAGCTAGCTGAAGTGAGAGAGCCTCTTTTTCAGCCTAAATACAGTCAAAATATACTGGTTGATGAACTAAAAGGGGAGATTTCACTGATTTTTTCCAACTTTCTGCTTAATTCAGTGGTCGGGATAGAAGTCGTTTAAAAGAGTTTGGTGTTAAATGGTGCACTGTAGAGACTCTTTAGAGTGATGGTGATAGGAACCAGGCGTGACCGTATCTACAACACAAATATATTCATTTTATTTACTATACAAAACCACCAGTAAACCTGCACGAGTCTACAGATATGTAAAATGGTGTGATGTAAGATACGAAATGGTTAAGGAACCCTGTTTTCTTTACAGTGGTGGTGATAGGAACCAGGAGTCGCTCAAATATAGCCATTTTCTAAGCGTAGTCAACCTCCTGATTTGTTTTATAAAGTTAATAATGGCAAATGATGGGAAATGTCAAAAAGATGTGTTTTTTTAAAGGGGACTGTTTTGCCTCACTGCGACCTGCATGTACCCCTCTGCCATGAATGCCCTCACAGAAAAGTCACATAAATTTCACATGTGAATGAACACATGTGGTTTTGCACACTTCACATGTTAAAAATGTGTTATCACGCATGAAAAAACACACAACCACACGTGAAAGTGTGTTCATGTGAAAAAATGTGTGATTGCTTGTGAAAACACATTCACATGTGGACAAAAAATATATAATGACTCGTGAAAATGTGTTCATGTGTGAAAAAAATATGTGATTGCTTGTAAAATTGGGTTCACATGTGGATAAAAATATGATTACTTGTAAAAAAAAATGTGTTCACATGTCAAAATGTGTCTTATCACTCGTGAAAATGTGTTAATGTGGAAAAAAGTGTGATTACTTGTGAAAACGTGTTCACAAGAGGAAAATAACATGTATTTACTCGTGAAAACGTGTTCACATGTGGGAAAAAATGTGATTACTTGTGAAAACGTATTCACATGTGGAAAAAACGTGATTACATGGGAAAACGTATTCACACGAAGAAAAAAATGTGCGATTGCTTGTGAAAATGTGTTTACATGTGAAAACACGTGTGATTACTTGTAAACCTGTATTTTTTACTCTTCACATTAAATACATGTGACTTTTCTGTAAGGGTAGATCTTTAAAAATACGTTTTAGGGCAAAACTTTATGTCAAATCTTTTGTAAAGCACTGTCTCAGACAGCAAGCAGGGCAACCATTTCAAGTAAGAACTTTCTGTGAGGGAGCTTTTAGATCTGGACGCCCTGTTCCTATCAGCACCACTGTGAACTCTTTGGTAAATTTATCTAGAACGGAGCATTTCACACCAAACCACTCTGAACCACTTTGTTTACATCTTAACCATTAAATTATGCAGAAATTTAGAAAACAGGGGAAACCCCCCTTTTTATGTAACTATGCCACACATTTCCTTTTAAACAAATAGAGTCATGTCAGCAAGTACGGACTTTGCTACCTCAACACGAAGTGCAATTGCAATTAATGTCAGCATAATTTCAGTTTAGTAGCCAAACATCCCCCCTGGTTCATTTCCTTCAAGTAGAATTCATATCAGTACATCACTACATATGGCTGGATTCTGAATGTTAACCCCAAAACCACAGTCGTTTTCTTATTCCCACAAGATGTCACTATTTATTTCCCCACTTCTCAGAAGTGGGTTTGCCAAGAAAGCATAACCATGATTTTTAATGCACTGTGGCCCATAAGAACGGCATTGAAGACCTTATAAAAGTATATTGAGGTCATTTATATTATTGTGATATTACAGTCAGATGATGTCTACAACTTCAGTCAACATCCTCACGTAGGCCCAGTCGCAGTGTAATTACTTTACTACATTATTGAATTAGATATCAATCGCATTCGATTTCACACTGCGTTCGTATTGTCATGATGAAGGAGGAACATTGTGTTATCATGGACATAGAAATAAAAAATGACACTCAAATAGAAGTATTTTTACCATAAAGGCGCTTTATCATAAGTGTAAGCAGCACAAAACAGCACACTGCAGTAAAAGTAATTGCTATCATTAAAAAAGACTGTGAACAGCACAAAACACCCATGTTCTACATTTTTATTGCATTTTATTTTTCCCTCGAGGGCCACTTATAATATTTGAAATAAAAAACTCTTTATTTCAAAAAAGCAAGAGGAACTTGCTGTTAAACCTGTCTTGATATGGGCCCTTTAATGAAATGGTTTGGCACAAATGTTATTTTATACAATTTGAATTTTGACCCAAATGTACTAAATCAGACAGGACATGTTTAGTGTCAAAGTTTGCTTCTTTCTAATAGAAGTAATACACTACTACAAGTAAAATAGACTTCTATTACTTGTTCTATTACTTCTGTTAGTCTAAAGGCAAAGCTTTGCTCAAACCCCAAGCCTAAATCATCTCACGCTGTGATAGTTTATGTAGTTTCTGACACGGTATGACATACTGCGGTCTATAGAAATGAAAAAAAAACAAAAAACAAAATTTGGGCTTCAAAGTGAATTGTACTGTTTTTAGCTATGTGATAAACTTTTGTCCACTTCTACAGATGGTGTTCGATCACACAGTGTCAGAAACCACTTAAGCAAGTGGTTTAAGGGCCTATTATGTAAAATCTCATTCAACTTGCTTTTTTAAAATAAAAGTTTGAAATAGTATGTAAACATTATTAAGGTTTTAAAATTTCACTCCCCATACAGTCCAAATATGGACACTGAAGTGTAAAAACAGACTGTTTTCAATTCGCTGTTTTTGTGATGTCACACTTTTTCAGGCTACAGCAGTTTAGCCCCCTCCATTCACATCAAAGTTTTAAGGAGTGTTTCAACTCAGACTGCTTTTTGAATGAGGCACAATACAGGACTGCCAGTCAGAACAGAGCTCATTTACATATCGTTGCTGTCAGAACAAAACCTCCTATTTTTCATAATCTGAAAATGCCTGTTGTCCTTTATATTGTGTGTAAATTTCATGAAGAATGGATGAACAGAAGTGGCCCAAAATGACTTGGAAAAAAGTCTGGTTCCATTGACAAAGTATGTTTTTTCCTTCTCCTGTAAAGTTACCATTTTGGAGATTTTTTTACTATAACCGTTAAAAGGAAGTTGGAAAATAGGCGTGATAAAAATGAATTATGAGTATTTTTGGTATATAATGACTCACTCCATGAGTGTTATAAAACAGAGAGAGCACCCATTGTCTAAAACCCAGTTTTCCTTGCTTTTTTTTTTAATAAAAGTTTGAAATAGTGTGTAAACATCATTAAAGTTTTACAGTTTGGCATTCGCTCCCCATACAGCCGGAATATAGACACTAAGCTGCAAGAACAGTCTATTTTGTATCACACCTTTTCAGGCCACAGCAGTTTAGCCCCGCCCATTCACATTGAAGTTATAAGGAGTGTTTCAACTCAGACTCTTTGAATGAAGCACAATACAGGACAGCCAGTCAGAAAAGAGCTGATTTACATATCAGTCTTAAAGTCACAAAAACACGCTGTGTAACTATAATGGATAAAGGGAGGTTGGAAAATACGCATGACAAAATGAATTATGACTATTTTTGGTACATAATGACCAAAGGACCACATGAGTGTCATAAACGAGAGAAAGAAGAAAAGGGGGGGGAGGGGGGGTATACAACCCCATTTCCAAAAAAGTTGGGATACTGTGCAAAATGTAAATAAAAGCAAAATGCAATGATATGCAAATAATTTAAAACCTATATTTTATAGAAAATACAAAGACAAAGACAACATATCAAATGTAGAAACTGAGAAATTTTGTTGTTTTTTGAAAAATATTTGCCTATTTTGAATTTTTGCCAGCAACTTGTTCCAAAAAAAGTTGGGATGGGAGCAGCATAAGGCTGGTAAAGTTGTGTAATGCTACAAGAACACCTGGTAGTTAATTGGCAAAAGGTCAATGACATGATTGGGTATAAAAGAGCCTCCCAGAGAGTCTTTCAGAAGTAAAGATGGGGAAGAGTTCACCACTCTGTGAAAGACTGTGTGGGCAAGTGCAACAATTCAAGAATAACGTTTCTCACTGTAAAATAGCAAAGAACTTTTGCTTTTCATCATCTACAGTACATGATATTAAAAGATTCAGAGAATCTGGAGAAATCTCTGTATGCAAGGGTCAAGGCCACAAACCAGTATTTGCTGGCCGTGATCTTTGGGCCCTCAAGCTGCACTGCATTAAAAACAGATATGATTCTGTAGTGGAAATCACTGCATGGGCTCAGAAACACTTCTGAAAACCATTGTCTATGAACACAGTTCATCACTGCATCAACAAATGCAAGTTAAAACTCTAAAACGCAAAGAAGAAACTGTCCAAAAACAGGATCCAGAAATGCTGCCACCTTCTCTGGGCCCTGAGCTCATTTAAAATGGACAGAGGTGAAGTGGAAAAGTGTCCTGTGGTCCGATGAATCAACATTTGACATTTTTTTGGAAA